GTGATTCCATGTGGAGACATGGATGTGAGGGTAGAATAACTTCAAATAGTTTTCTGTTTATTATCAGGAAATTCCTGTGAACTTCATGACAGTTACTACACCAGAGGTTGAACTTCCCATAACAACAAGAAGAGCAGTTATTGCACTACAAAGAAATGAAGTATTCATACTAAGATTTATTAAAGATAAATTCTCATCTACTGATTAGGCTGTAATAGAAACAAACACTTCAGTGTATTCTGATGGATTAATGGTTGGTAAAACTCTCATGGACTTGAAGAACAAAGACACCATCATTAAGGCCATATACGTAAAATTCGAGTTTCATCTGGATGAGATGAAGCCATTGAGGATTTTGAGGAATTTGTGCAATTTCTTCATGGTAATTTCAAAATTTAAGACATTTTTCTTGAGAGAGCAAAAACAAAATGTAAGAAAGTAAAATGTAATACATGTGTATAGAAAAAATAGTGTTAAAAGTAACGCTGTTGTTGAAAAACTAGGTTGATAAAGAAATGAAGTATAAGTAGCCTAGATTGCCAGCTAGAGGTTTTTAAGAGTTCGAGTTAAAAATATGCTAGGTCAAGAAAGCCAGAGAGTAGTGGTATTGAGAATCATGAGTTACAAAAGAGTTATAAAAAAATTAAGCTATTGCCTAGCAACGAAGTAGATGCACCAGCACCAGTGACTGATGGTGATTAATTACTGACTCCAACTCGTTAGTACTGTGGAAGCTACGAAAAACTTTATGTTAACATGCAAAAGCAGTACTTTGATGTTATATTCCTTGCACAATGCTAGTATACTAGCGCAAGTAAGAAAGCAACCGGCTAACTCACCATAACAGTAACCAATCACTTGAGAGTTTTCTTTATGGTTTTGAACTAGCTCGGGAAGTTGCACAGATCGACCAATAAGGTGTGAGAACTACTTGCTGGGGGGGGGGGGGTGGCTGCATACTATTTGGGAATTCATAACACAAAGGAAAAATTGGTCAAAACTTATTTTAGAGGCAGAAAATCAGTCTCCTCATAAGTTATTGCTAAGTGCTCATGAACACCAGCAGTTGCTCCAAGATTATGCTGAAACATTCCAGTCTGCAAAGGTACACCTCGCCAATTATGTTGTAAGTAAAAGTTTTCTTACTCTCAAGCTTCAATCAATGTAGTTATAGTAGGAAAGATTTAAGAAATAATTATAATGTGTTAACTGATTATTAGTAGAAAGTTTACACGAGATAAATTGAAGATTTTTTGCTAATAAGTGACTTGGTGAACTAGAGAAGTTATCTATATGCTTACGTTTAGCATTGTGAAATGAAGATAATTAAAGACTATTATATTAATAATTGAAGAACTCAGACTCAGTTTTTATTCTAACTGTAAATTGCCTTGAGTTAGTGGCTTGTGAGTGGTGAGTACCACTGCAATCCTCAACTTTATACATTTGGTGTAATCGGCAGTATAATTGAAAATCCAACAATTACCCCTGAAAATGCTTCCTGTTACAGAGAAATTACAAGATATGAGGCTTTATAGGCAATACTTCTATATAAAAATATTTCATAAGTAGTCACCTTTGAGGGATGAGTAGAAAGTTTGATGTCAACCATTACATAAAGATAGCTTACCACCTAATGTATAAGATTTATATGATATGAAATATGGAGGTCTTACAACTTTACAATGACGACAGTTACATAACTTTCTCACAGAATATCATGGCATCTGCTTAAGTGGACCTCATAACTTAAGCCTAACCAGTAAAATATATTACAAGACTGATATTAGAGATGCAGCCCCTATAGATCAATTAATCTGATGACTTCCTTTGCAAAGTTGGCTGAGGTTTTAAAGGACATAGAAGCCATAAAGGTATAAGAAGTGATAGAACCAAAAGTTAGTCCTTGAGCATGATTGAGTATACTTGTTAAGAAAAAGGATTAATCCACAAAGTTCTGTGTGGACTACTGAGAAATGAATGAAGTTAGAAAGAAGGATACCTACCAACTGCCAAGGATTGACTCTACTTTGGATGCACTATTTGAATCAAAGTGTTTTTAATATTGGATCTGAAGCAGTGATATTGAAAAGTAGAGAGAAAATAGATTTTACTGTAGGAAGTAGATTGTGGCACTTTGTTGTGTTACCATTGAGATTATGTAATTTTCCTATTACATTACAATGATTAAATGGAGTGTGTGCCATCTGAACTACCCTGGAATGTTGTACTTATCTGGGCAAGGCTTTCTTAAGAGTCCAATTTGATGTCGCCAGTGTTTCTGGAAAAATGTCTCGGAGGAAGTGCGTATCTTACATAAACACATAATAATTTCTAAATGGTAGACGACGGACAGAGCTTTCTAAACATATATAACACGGTGAGTTTGTTTTAAGTGTTTCCAGCAAACCAAGGAAATAAACAATGGTGGGGAGTTAAAAGTAACATGTCGCCAGCAGAAAAATTTAATTTCAAAGTAATAACACAAACATAAAAATTTTAAGTATGACTCAAGACTTTATTAGGATTAATTAGTAAACATTTATGTTTTGAGAATTTGTCATTAGCTGATTGTCTCATTACTTTTTCACATATAAAAATATCCAAAATAACATGTGGCGGTAATCATGTGTTCTCCTTTACGATTGTTTATTTCCAAGACAATAATTACATTTTTTTTAGTAAATAAAACGACTAGAGTCTAAAATCAATCCGGAAGGTATATAATTTGATTTGATCATACCCCAAACACAGGGTATAAAGAGATATTTTGGGTATGTCCGTTTGGAGCTTGTTACATAATTAGTTTTTCAAGCACTTGATCTCCTTTACGCATATATCTAGTGTTACCTCGTTACTCAAATTATGTTATTTTGTTATATGCTGAAACATTCCAGTCTGCAAAGGTACACCTCGCCAATTATGTTGTAAGTAAAATTTTTCTTACTCTCAAGCTTCAATCAATGTAGTTATAATAAGAAAGATTTAAGAAAGACTTATAATGTGTTAACTAATTATTAGTAAAACGTTTACACGAGATAAATATACAGCCAAGACATTTGTTGTTGTCAATAACTAAAAGGGTACGAGTAAATTGCATTCTTCAATAAAAATCACTGAACATGAAATTGCGTGAACTCCTTTACGTGTCCTCCTTTACTTAAGATGGTAATATATATAAATGATTAGAGTAGGGTGGATTTGAGATGTATTAGTCACAAATCAACTCATTTTCTTGCAAGAAAAGTCCTTGGCAGTGCGATTACATAACAGGTGTGTATCACTTTAGCTGTATAACTAACATTCAATTGGTGTGAGTGGTGGTAATTGTAGGTTTAAATGACTGATGAGTTACAAAGCTCAATCTGAGAGCGATAATTAGGAGTCTATTTTTAAAAACAGATAATTGACAATATGGTGAGATGCATCTAAAAGAGTTCACAGAATAGGTAAAGAAGATCACCATTTTAATTCAACTCCTTATGTATGCTTTGCACTTCTTAGTATAATGCCATATTATAATCAAAGCTTACGTTTATGATCTGTGGAAGTAGTCTAATACAAAATAACTATTCTTATTAGCCTGTTTTAGTTGAATTTTGTAGAAATGCAAAGGAGATCACATTAATCTCTACACCTGTCTTTGCTAATAATACAGAGGTGGTATGTATTTCGGTGATGGGTTTCATATTTATATTTTTAGAATAAATGGTAAACAAAATCGTCAGCTGAAATATTATCACAGAAAAAAGGGAGCAGAAGGGAAAACATTCTTACAATTTGCCTTTTCGTCTGATTTCATCTCATTAAATGGACTGGATTTTGAATTCGTTTCAACTGGTAATTTTTATGAACTCAGAAAGTAACATTTATGTTACAACAATACGGATCTTACTCGATTATTCGAAGGGAAATCATTGAATCTGAAGACATAACACTTTCTTTACTTTTCTGTGGTTATTATTTGGTTTATTAAAACTCCAAAATACTACCACGAAAATTAAGTATAAAATCGCCGTTGAAACTAAACATTTGTCAAAAGAAGAATTTTCGGACTTAACAACTATTACACTTTTATGTGTGCAGTCTGATAAGCAAGAATAACTTTTTCTGTTTATATTAAATTCCAATCCAGACTCAACTAACCTTTTTTCTGTAATATCACTTTACCCCCTCAAATGCATGAGAAAGCCTATAATTATATGTTGTTCTTTTTTTTATCTAAGAATTACATACATCTTATTAATACCATATTCTTGTTGTTTTAGCGCAATGCTACACAACAGGCTATCTGGGCTCCGCCCATCGCGGAGAATCGAACCATAGATACGAGAATTGTAACGCTGTAATCTTACCATTGAAGGACTTCTTTATGTTTTCTGTTCATTATTCTATAACCTAGTTGTTACAACAGCGGAGGTCACGTAACGCTAGTAAAACGTCATCTTCTCGAACGTTCACGTTCCTTCCTGAAATCTCGAGAGCCTACTAGATATGTGGTAGTCTTGTATATATAAACCGGTAAGAACTGACGGCAAGGAGGATAATGAGTAATTGACAGTTGAGTCGAGCACGTGAGACGTTCATTGTGAATTAAAGCGTTTGTTATAACGCGACTGTGGAAATTAAGTGTATCGCAAAGTTGTATTCAGAAAGAATAAACCAGTTTTATTTAAGAAAGGACCTGTATCTTTAAAGCTTCTTCGGAAATAATTTTTACGGAAAATTAACTGACGAACGGAGGCGTAACATAGTCTTAGTTCCAATATATTTAAAATTCTCACAGTGATAATGCTCATATCATGCAGAATAAACAACGATATATGTTAAGAAACTCTGATGCTTTTAGGAGAATACTTATTTATACAATATATACAAATATATATGGCAGTTGAAAAAATAATGATAAAACTGGCATAAATTTAATATTCCAAAGGCGCTACTTGGCGTAATAATACGTTATAATATCATGATAAAACTTAGAACAATGAAAAAAATATTGTAAACGTGTAGCAGATGATGTTTTTAGGTGATAATATGGCGTCTCCCTTGAAACCTTGGGAAGCAGGTCGTCTTAAGCAAAATGTTCAGTATACTGATTGGTAAGAAAATAACTATTATATTTTTATATACGTACTTTCCAATTTTTATCTTATAAAGTTTTAGTTCAATTTTAAGTTTAAAAGATTCAATGATACGATGACAGTTTTTAGTGTTATTACTATTAATAAAATAATTATTAAAAATAAGGTCGTTTTGCGTTAGGCAACACAGTCACTAAGACAGTTTTAACTGTGTAGGCCTATCACCATGGTCCTACTACTAGTAGTAGTATATTAGTAATACTGCATTTCAAGTACGACGTTAATCGGTTGGTCTAACAGGAAAATATTGCTAAAAGGCTTAAATGCAACTTAGTTTAAACTTTAATAAATTATATTAGAAAGAAGTATTTGCATTACATGTTTCGCAGTTATTTTTTAAGTTTTATTTTGAGAAAAGGTAACAGGATTCAGTGAATAATAATTTAAAATTGAAGAGATAGGCCTAGACTTGTGAATTTAACTATCAATATCATTGTCAGTATCATTCAGAATTTGATCATTAATGTGAACCTAATAAGTTCGTGTTTCTCATTAAGTTTAACCTCTGTGCTATTTGTTAACGTGATTTTTTTTTTATATTTCATGTTCCCTTCAGGTGTACATGGAATGTTAACTGAAAATTTTTGAAGAAAATTTACACTAGTCATTAAATGCTAAGTTATATTTAAAATATTCACAAATAATTGAAGTATCCAGTTTCATTGGAGTATATATATAGCTCTTATATACAATAAAATCAAGTTAATTAATAATGCAATTATTTGAACACATTAAGGCAATTCTGTCCAATCTTGAAACAAAGGTTAAGGTGATAGGCTATTCAGCACATCAGCTTATGATCAAGCTCACTCATTCAGTCAGTTTTTTGTATTTGACAAAGTTAACAAAAACACTCCTTTTTTATTGTTAGTATTTTTAAGGAAACCAATAGATAGTACTACTTTCCTTTTATACAAGAATAATGATATTTTATGTATTTATCAGTGTTAACTACTTGTGTCACAAATGGTCTGATTAGCATTTGAATTAAATCAGTTTTTGTACAGTGAAGTAGTTTTATATTTAAAAAAATATCTACCATTATGTCCAATATCTAATGGTCATTATGTCTCTGATAGCAATCAGATCTAAACGATTTATGATTGTTGGTCCCATAATATGTGTGTAGTGTTGATTCATGGTTACTAAGTGAGTGTGTGTTGTTTGCTTATTGTTACAGAGTGTGTGCGAGTTGTTGGCTAATGGTTGCTGGAATAGTATATTTTGTTTTTTCATGGTTTCTCAATGAGTATTTACTTTTGATCATTTGTGTTTGCTAGAAGAACTGCTTAAAAGTTAAAGATCTCCTTTAGAGCTTTAGGGATAGAAATAGATGTGGGACGTTTTTGAGAGCGCCTCCTCGAGCTAGATGTAAGAATGAATTACTTAGCAGGACTCAAGTATTTCAATGAAAGATTATCTGGGGTATTTAGAGCAACAGGTGGACTGGTTTGACCTGTGGTATAATTTACAGCAGAAGGGTAAATTATATAATAGAAATATGCTTCAATCAAGCAGGTTAGGCAGTAGAATGTCTGGAGAAGTTTTGAAGATATTTGTTTAAAATAATGTAAACTAAACTTGCATTTTGGGGAAATTGAGAATAAGCAACTTGATAGGATAGGTAGGGTAATGAGGACTTTAGAAATAGGAGACAGAGCACAAGTTGAATAATAAAGATAAGTCTGTCAGACTTAAAGACAAACACATAGATTCAAGAATAAGCTTATATGCTATTATTCTAATGTTAAAGAGTGTTAGAAACAAAACAGATGAGTACAGGGTTCAAGTTGAAATGGAAGTTTATAATATAATGGGAATTACTTATACTTTGTTGGATTTGAAGAACATTGATAATAGGAATTTTATGGAAATTCCAAGCTGTAAGTTACTTAATAGTGATTGAATTTTTAAGATGAGGTGGGGTGGCTCTATATATATAAGGGATGAATTGAATCCTGTTGGGGTTGGAGACATAAAAAAAAGTAGTAAATACGAGGTTAATCTATGTGAGTATAATCAAAGGGTTTAAGGGGAAAATTGGCAATTGTTGTAGGCCACCTGATCAGAGAGATCATGTCAATGAGAAATGTATAATAAGATTCAAGTCATTTTTATAAAAATATTGTTGGAATGATTATGGAAGATTTAATTTTAGCTCAGAAGATTTATGGAGTCAAAGAGAGAAGGAGAGAGGTTTCACCAAGATATTCAAAATGATTTTCTGTATCAATTGGTCGGGGAGGGGGGGGGTGAAATTTTAAATTTATTGTTAACCACAAATGAAGGTATGGTTAAAAGAGTTGAACAGAAAGAAACTTGTGGAAAAGTGACCACTGAATAATTAGGTTTGATTGTTTGCTAAATGTGGGGATAAAAATAAATTGAATTTTAATCTATCTTCTTTTTATTTTAGAAAGCTAATTTTAAGACGAGAAAATTTAAAATTAATATATTTAGATAAACAGCTAGAAGGTCATGTGAGACAGATTTGGGAAATCTTTAGAAAATAAATTAATTTTAATTAAAGATAGTCATATTCTTATAAACAAGAGAAGGAGAACAAGAAAGATCAAACTTAACTGACTTACTAAAGACATCATGGAGAAAATTTAAGATAATTGCCATAACTTTAAGAAGTTTAAACTGGCAGTTGGAAGCTAGGGGTTTGGTTAAAAAAAGAAATGAGAATATCCAAAAGGAATTATGAGAAACAGCTGATAATGTCAAAACTAACAGCAAGGATTTTTTTCAAGTATGTTTAGCATAGCAAAATTTAAAAATAGGGATTAGGTCCTTAAAGGATGTATATGGCAAAGATTTTATTAAAGAGAAGAGATTAACAGTATTCTTGACCCTTAGCATTCTATGGGAAGTGCTGGAATGGACTTGGATTATGTAGATTTAAATTCCTTGGTAATCCCCAAGATATGGATTCCTGTATTTTGTGAGGGGACCTTCCAATAAAAGTTTTATCTGTGGATTGTACCTTCTGAGGTTTTCAAAAGTCCACCCTCATTTGAAGGGGGAGAAGAGGATCTTGGTGGTTGAGTTGTACCTGTGTTGTGCACTTAGATATATAACAACACTCCACTTTGGCCATGAATAGTGGGGTGGCCCTCTCATGATCAATCAACTGGTTGATTTGTAGGTAAGGTCAATCAGAAGCCAGTATTGAATGCATTCAATGGGTATTGTGAACAGTATGACTGGTGCTGGTGTTTGGGTGTAATATCCATGAAACTCTGACATTGCTGCATGACTTCAATGTGTTGAACTTTTAACAGTGTAGCACTTCACTATGTATAACTCCATGGTGAGTATGGTAGGTGGGCACCAAATCTTTCTCTTTTTTTTTATCATGAATTCTTCTTCATCAAAGATTAAAAAATAAGTAAATGACTATGCATGGATGACACTATGGGATCACACTCATTAATCATTAGAGTTCCTGATAATAGATTCTTTATCAGAAACACTTCTTCTTAGATGTATCCTTTTTCATTCCCAAAGGTTTAAAGGAGCTTGGTTGCTCTCCAAGATCATTTCAGAAATCAAGATAGGGATTTATTGGTCAAATCATCAGGTTATCTTAATTGCAAAGTAGAATTTGTATTACTAATCTTCTCATACTTTTCACTGTTAGTTGTTTGGGCCTCTAAAACATCTTGCTGTGGTACTTTAACTTGTGATTATTGTGGTGTTAAAGACCATGATAGCTATGAATACAAGATGGAGCCATACCATGTCAGTTACTCTGGTACCTTTCCCTCATACTTCAGATCATGCCTTTAGTGGGTAGAGGAAAAGGCAGTACAGAAGACCTCACTAATGTTTCTCATTCTAAGGCACGGGAGATGCTGACACCTCTTCCAACACTGTTACATTGCTGTAGTAGAAGTGCAGACAGATCTCTCTGTCCCACCTACTGAATTTTTCTCTCACTATATTAAGGATCCATTGCTCTTTATGGACAAACTTGTAGAGAAGTCAGTATCCACTCTCATCCCTTTTCCACCCAAAACAACAGTGAACAATCAGGTACATTTCCATTGACTTCAATTTATAAGATCATTATCCAGTCCCTTCCATCACTCATTTCATTTCCATACATCTGATAGGAACCCACCCCTTCAATCCAGTGCATGGTCTTTGAAAGTACATAGACCTCCTGCTGATAAAAAAACAATGGCCATAAATCTAAACAAAAGTTTCCTACTAAGGTATCTTCAAATCTAGGTAAAAATGGTCATATTGATAGTGGAAATTTTGAGGTTTTCATTCTGATTTAGTTAACACCAAGGCCTTGATTGATTCTTACTATTATATGTGTATTTTCTTACAAAATACCTCCTTGAAAACTGCCAAAACTGTCACCATTTGGTTGTTTTCATTATATGAAAAGAATGGGTTGTGTGATGGCAAGTAACATTATGAATATACTACTTACTACACCTTTGGAGGTCATAACCATCCGTGTCTCCATTGGTTGTACCATTCTACTATGCTCTTATGGTGATCATATTGAGCAGTTGTCATCTCCATTCATCATCCTGAGAGACCTAAGTGGACATGGTAAGCTCAGGGATTGTGGAGATATTGATTGGAGGGTTCAATCTATAAGGCTTACATGGACCAGATCACAATCTTTGACTTTTCAATACTGGAAAATATGCACATTTCCATCTACCAAGTCAAACATTTACTGCCACCAGTTTAGCAATTTGTTCACCTTCTCTCCTTTTCATAGAACTATTACCTCACATTCAACTGCCATGAAATTTTTTGCACTTGCCAAAAGCTGTGAACAAATTCCCATCCCACATGTGTATTGCACCAGCCTGTGATATAGTCATCATAATGTTGTAGCCCTCCACTAGTATGAGGCAACACAACCTCCATGCATGGTAATTCCTTTGAACACTAACATATGATCATAGGCTAATTTTTCTTTGGCACAACCTGCATTTGGATGTGTTTTTTTTTTTTTATCTTTAGTTCTCTTACTCAACTGCCTTTCTTGAGTAGTATCTTGATTTTATCTTTGTTACACTTTTGTTCCATCAATCTGATTGCAACTTTATTTTGTTTAGCCTCTACATTTTTACTTTAGGCTGCTTTCAACATGTGCCAAGTAAAATATACATCTATAATAGTAGAATGGAGTGTCTGTGGGTCTATTTGTGACTACATTAGCTCCAACGGAAAATAACCTAGAAACCTGAAATTTTGCGCCCATACTAAGTGGACCATGAGGGTGTGCATCTGGGTATTACTTATCTTGTCCATATGCATGAGCATCTTTTTAATGAGGCAAGCAAAAACTGCATAGAAAAAAGTGGTTTATTATATTACAAATAGAAACACAGACAGACATGTATGCAAGCATGCACACAAACACGTGTGTGTCTGTCTGTCAGTGACCCCATAGCTCCATGAGGAAAGAACCTAGAAACCTGAAGTTTTGCACCCATACTAAGTGGACCCTGAGAGTGTGCACTTAACTAATACTTATCCATGTGTGTGCACATTTTTTTAATGAGGCAAGCTAGCAAAAAACCACATAGAAATGTTTTTATATAACAACTTTTAATATATAGAAAAGCCAGTGCATTTTGGTAACAATGGCTTTTATGTCATGTTGCTCAACAAAAAAATTATATAGGTTATATTTTATGCTAAAATGGGTTCAGAATATACACACTATCAATCTAATAACCCGAGCGAAGCTAGGTACTTTTGTTACTATGTGTATAAAAGTCCTGAGGCTGAATTATTCCTTTTCAGGCATTTCTTCAACTGACTCAGTGGAGACAATATATCTGTTCATGGACTTCACATTTAATTATCCTTTTAGTTCATTTAACAGAGCACATGTCTGCATGTAACATGTTTCAGATTCCACTCCATGGTGACGTACACTTGACATCTTGGATAACATAGCACCCACAACTTTATTGAGCCGTGATGAACCATGGTATACTAACAAGCTAACTGATAATATTCCCACTTTCATGCATCAGGTGGTTGGTTTCTTTCTGCCTACTTCTTCTTCAATTGAGGTTCCTAATCATTTTGTTTCTTTGCTTGGTTAAAGATTGCCTCACCTGTGGGAAAATTTGGACAGCTCTTCCACCTCCGGCCTTTTTTTCTTCTGGCCCTTCTGTCCATGATGGGGAATAAGTACTTCATTCTCTTCTGCATATCTTTTTTACCTGTATGTTATTATGTATCTTTGGTTGTTTTATTTTGCATGCCTCTTCCTGTTCCAACTTTGCAGTGTCCCACATCTTTCTTGTCTAACTCTTCTTTGTGACTCCTTTGCTTTGGCTTCAGGTCATGGTCCTTTGATATTTCTTGATCCCCAATTTATTGTCTTTTCTTTCTGCTTGGGTGCGCCTCTTTCTCCTTGTCTTTCTTTCCAGTTCTCTGTTCATTTTTGTATATCTTTACTCCATTTCTGCCTTTCACCTCGTCACTGAGGTTCTCCTTCTGACCCCAATAGTTTTGGTGGAAATGCCTATTATTTTTTGTTTGACATTTTAGTTTCTTTTTCTCCCATCTCTCTTTTGACGTGGTTTCTTTATTTTGGGATCTCCTCAGTTGGGTTTCTTCATTCCCTTCCTCCTATATCTGGAAATTTCATCTCACTCATTGGCTTACAGTCCTGGTATCTGAGGGGTTTCCCAACTCCTTGGAATCCCAGACTAAGGCTGTTTGCTTGCAGTCTTTTATGGTTTCCTTAATTTCCAAATCACAGTACCTCTGTGTGCCACCAATCCTTGAGAGTCACTTCAGGTTACCCCTCTTCTGTTCCTTGTTCTCTTGTTTCTGTTTTTCATCACTTCTTCTGCATGACTAGTAGGTGTGGTTTCCAACTGTGACTCTTCTTTGGAATCGATTCTGACATATGGACATGCTAAGATGTGTCAGGTGGGTCACACTGGTGGAAATTCAGGATTTTTAAAAATATTTCCTTGTAGATTTAAGAACTTTATTTACTATTCAAATATGGATTATTAGCTAAGAATTTATGCTATTCTAATTGGTATAACATAAACAAAGTAGTTTAAAAAATTTTGAATGTAAGACACTAAAACCTTGTGTCATGCACAGTAATGGGTACTCGGGATGATAAGGTTAATTCCAATCCTGAGTTGTGGAACCTAGGCTGTCAGGTTGGAGCTGGTCTGTACTGATGATTTCTCTTGCACTATTCCACCCTTGATACATGAACTAATTTCAGGGTGAAGAGCATACCTGTTCTGGATGTAGTGAGGTTCCCTCACTCAATTACCACTCTTATCTTGGTACATCTCTGATCTATGCAGATTCTCTCTGTATGGATAATGACCTCACCAACCCCTCCACCTTCTCAGTGTTGGATTCTAGCTATAAGTGGCAGCGGAGGTAAGTGTGTTTTGGAAGTTAACATTTTCCTAAATTGAAAATGTAGTTCCAATAATATTTACCTCTACTGACACTCTCCCACCTTAGTTTAAATAAAGTGAAAAAATTACCTGAATGAGGTACTTGTATACAGTACCAGGATAGAGTGCACATTGACGTAGGTGGAGAGTATATTGCCAAGGGCAGTTGAGTGAGGTATAAAAGACTGGAGCAAATGAGAAAAAATCAGCCCAATGCTTAGATGGTCAAAGATTGATATCTTGGTGGTCAAGTAATAGGTTTAAGTGTCAGCAAAGGTAAGTATTATTGGTTATACATTTTTTTTTATTTTCTATAATCCTTTAAATCTCCCATCAATAGCTTCACTAAAGAAAAGAATATTGGCATAGTGGTGGGTAAGTTGCTGAAGCCCTTGAAGTAGTGCTCTTGCTAGTAAAGTTAATATAATTTCAGGTTATATTTATAGTTGTATTGATGAAAAGTCAGAAGAGGTAATTATCTCTATACAAGTCACTAGTTAGGCCTCAGTTGTTTACAGCTATGGTTTCCTTATCCGAGAAAAGACTGTAAAAGGTTCAGAAGTGGGCTACTAAGATAATTCTGGAAATGGGCTGTATTGCAGAAATAGGTTAGGATCTCTTGAACTTAATTCTCTCTTGAGAAAAGTAGAGTTGATCTCATTGAAGATTACAAGATTATCTGTGGTATTGATAGTTTAAATATATTTGATTCATTAGTGATATGTAATCAGTTGTAAGGACTATAGGATTTAAATTTAAGATTTGTAAAAAGAGAAGCCAGGCTCTATTTAAGACAGTGTATTTTTAACAGAATGGTTGACTAACAAGTTCTTATATTCCTATTTGTTTCAACGTTTTGAGTATGGGTTGGTAAAAAGGAAATAAATATCTGAATATGTTAGTTTTTAATTTCCAAATTATTAAAAAAAAACTTATATTGTTAATTTAATACAGGAATTCAACCCAGGCTTCTGGAACAGCAACACAGCCACAGCTTCAGTCATCAGCTGGATTTCAGCGAAGGTCTGACATAACACGTCTTACAAGTGGTGTTTCAAGAGTACCTCCTCCTATACCTCCTCGACCAGATCAGTCTCTATCAGCATATCGTAGGTACTCTCCAGGTTTCAGTTATTCACCTTACAGCAGTCTTTCTAGCCCATACTATAGTTCCATGTACTCTGGATACCCTGGTTATGGCTTTCCTGGACAATATGGTTATGGACCAGATCATCAGGGAGGGGCAGTAGGTAGCAGTTTTATTCGTCTAGCTGAAGAGAGCTCCCGTCAGGCCTTCCAGTCAATTGAATCCATTGTTCAAGCTTTTTCTTCAGTCAGTATGATGTTGGAGTCAACATATCATGCTGTATACAGCTCTTTCCGTGCTGTTCTTGGAGTAGCTGACCATTTTTCAAGGCTTCGTAATCATCTTGCTCAGGTGCTTACTACTCTTGCTCTCTTTAGAAAACTTCTGTGGCTTTACAGAAGATTTCTTTATCTTTTAGGTAAGTTGAAGTTCTGTGACCACTTGATTAGTATGCATTTTTCAATGTACATTTTCATAAACTTTATCTGTGTGGAACACCATATAAACAACATTTTAAACGTTTGTATTAATTAACTTTCAGACATTAAAATTTATAATCTTCAATTTATTATAAAACATTAAAAACTTCGATGAAGACCAAAGTTAAGTTTTAAAAATTGTAATTGTTCTAGACTTGTAGGACTATTAGCTACATATTATACCTACCCACTTATACTTCTTGAATTGCTTTTCATACAGAAGCATTAGAAAAAAGTTGATTTTAGCATTTATTGCAAATTAACTTGTTTAAAGTAAATAAGGTCAGGACTATCATCTTAGTAAGAAAAAATTTTAAATTGTTTGACAAATACAGTGTTAATGGAATAATGGATGAATATGAATAAAAAATTAAAGTATAATATTTATAAAACAAAGAGGAGACTCAGTTACCACATCTTTTAAGAAAACTTTGGCTGAGAAAAGTTATTTTTCTACTGCTTTAGCTTGATAGTTAACACTTCATTTTTGCAGGAATACGCAAAGAACATCCAGATACAGAAGAAGTGTGGAGCTTTGCATCGCAAACTGCAACTATTGGAATTAATGGAGAAACTGTAACCCAGAATAAGTCCTCCTGGCCAATCATAATGTTTTTTGGTGTTGTATTTGGTGCTCCATGGTTGATATGGAAGCTTTTGTCTTCAGTTGTTGGTATAGAAGCAGGTGTGTATTGTTAGGTATTATGTACATATTCTTTATAAACCATGAATAACTTTTACTTTGTTAACAGTCAACTATTATAGAATAATTTAATTTGTACAGTTTTTGCATTGTTAGTTGTGGTAACTATTGTAAAATATTTAATTTGAACAGTTGTTACATTGTTCATTAAGTTAATAAAGAATGATTTAACTAGAACAATAACAACACTTTGCTGCATTTCTAGTTGTAGTTTCTAAAATTTACAGCTTGAAGAATTGCATTATTGCTAATTAATCTAACCATTAACTAATGATTGAACTTTAACAGTTTAATGTTCACAATTTAATGCTAGAATATTAAGTAAAAAGACTTATTGTGTAATATCAACTAACCTTGTAGGACGAAAAGAGTCCCTAGTTTCATGTCAACTCACCTAAAGGTTTGATAAAAGTCACTAGTTTCATCTCCTCTCACCAAGTGGTCTAATAATAGTTGCTAGTTTCATGTCATCTCACCCTGTGGATTGATAACAGTTGCCAGTTTTATATCAACTCTGTGTGTTGATAATAACCACTAAGTTTCATATCAACTTAGTGTGTGTTCTGGTACAGTCATTAATGTCATGTACACTCACCCTGTGTTTTCATACATCCTGTCACTAAAGCTTTATACATATAACTCACCCTGTGGTGCTAAAATTATCTCCTGTCCAGCTTTCACAGGTATTTCTTGGTTGGAACCAGCATTGAAATCATACATTGCTACTCCTACATAATGATCGTTTTCTCCTGTTACCCATTTCTCCTGATCCATGAAACTAGTGACTTATTAAACCACTGGATGAGTTAATGTGAAACTAGTGACTTTTATCAGACCACTAGGTGAGTTGAGATGAAACTAGTGACTTTTATTAGACCACTAGGTGAGTTGAGATGAAACTAGTGAGCTTATCAAACCATTGGGTGAGTTGACTTGAAAAAATAACAGTATATCTATACAAAACACTATTATTTTTAACAAAGAATCTAACATTATCAAATGCAAAATATAGAAAACATTCTAAATTGAACAAAACAGCCCTACTCTGAACCAACTCTCTGGGGTACCAAGATACCTTTACTAAGCTGTTAAGCAATCTCTTGTCATGTGTTCTCTTTGTTCCATACTGTATATATATTCCTGTATTTCTGTAAACTACTTATAGCTGATGATGACGTAATTTTGTTGAAATGTTATACATTTATAATAAACTTTCTTTCATTAACCATTCAAGCTGTCTCCAAACTTTATTTACTAGTTTAGTTGACATGAAACTTAAGTGGCTATCATCAACCCATAGAATGAATTGACTTGAAACTAGTGACTCATGAAACCACTAGGTTAGTTGACTTTAAACTTTAGTGGGTATTGTTAACCTAAGGGTGAGTGGACATGAAACTAGTGACTTTGATCAAATCACTGGGTTATGTAACATGAAAATTTGGTGGTTCACCCATAGGAAATATTTTCTTTGGAACATTTAAGGAATAAAGGTATTATAATATAGTAATGAAGAACAAAGGTTATAACCAATTGATAGGGAAAAAATTTTTTCCACATCATACTTAACTCCAATAAAAATACAGTTATTACTTGACTGCTAAGGTTTTCTTCTTTTGCCCATTTAAGCATTGGTCTGATTTTTTCTTGCTTGCTTCAGTCTTTTATACCCCACTTAATTGTCCTTGGCAATATTTGTCTCGTGACACTCTCCACCTGTGTCAATGCGCCCTCTATCCTGGTAATGTATATAAGCACCTCATTCAGATAATGTTATCCATTTTTCAATACTGACTCCATCATATTTTCTTGACAAAGCATTCAGGAACAGGTTCTCTGTACTGTGACTGTTAGAGACAGTTTGAGCAATTCTTTGCATCACCTAGTTGATTTTTGTAAGAAAAAAAAAGATTTATTTGACAAGTCGATATATGCCATGAACTCCTAGATTACTGTTTCAGGCATAGAGGCTAATCAGGTCTCCCCTATCCCACCTCTGATATCTAGTATCACTCAACAGCTGGGGGTGGGGGGACTCTCAGGCTGCATTTGCAGATGATCCCAGATATTACGGAGAGGATTTAGACAAACGTTTTCCAGTGTCTTCCTTTGCTAGGTTGGCTTCTGATGAGGCTAGTTTTATTCAGCTCTCTCCAGCTCCCTTTCTTCAGTTTATTAACTTGGGTGGGTGATGTTTTGAGTCTTTCCCCAGTTGCTTTTGAGTCTGTGCAATCCTTGAAGGCAGAAAGGTCTGAGGGCATATACCTAGTTCTTCCTCTGTCCCCTGATATTGCAATTCATGCAGGAAGGTTTACAGTTCAGTTACATGAAGGGATAGCTATGCCTTGTCTGCTACATTTGTTGGCTTACCACCACCAGGGGAATGCATAATCAGACACTCAAAAAATAGATTCGCTTTTGTAAATGTGGGGTTCCGGAACGGAGTCTGTGGTCTACCTGAATAGATCACAATTTTCTGCAATTCATCTGACCATAACTACAGTTATGAGATATCATCCTTCCAAGCTTTGTTGGAAGCCTCTCTGCGAGCGACACATCAGTTTGATGATGAATTGGGACCATTGTTGGCATCCACTTTGGTGTGATTGTCAGCTTCTGAACTTTCTCTAGTCTCTTGGTTGGTATTTTGTTGGAATTTTTTAGGTAGAGATGCATTGTTGGAGGGCATTCATCTACCTGCTACCTTTCTTCCATCATTTATTTTTGCGGGCATTCCAGAGTCTTTGGAATCATGGATTGATGTTGCCTGTCTGTATTCATCCTTGTCATTATTAGCATCTCGACTTTCCTCAGCTCCTAAAGGGGGTCATAGCTCTACCCCTATTTGACATCAGTCACTCGATCCATTGGTACCCAGAATAAATTCCACCCATATTCACTTGGTTAAAACAACTCCAGTGGTGGTGGTGACTACACTATGTCTGTTGGATTTGTGGGGGCTCAGTTGCAAGAATTTCTAGACTATGGAACACCTTTACCACAGATCCATGGGTGCTACAGGTTCTTGCATCAGGGTTGGTTATTCAATACACATCACCACCACCACCATTATCCCCCCCCCCCAACCTGTAGTGTTTCTGCCTCCCACAGATCCTCAGGTTTATGAACTTTGTTCCAGGGCTATCAGATATTTGTTGGTCAAAGGGGCAGTACAGAGAGAGAAAGTCGTCTCAGTTCTTCCAGGATTTTATTCCTGTCTGTTTGTTGTGCCCAAGAAGACAGAAAATTGGCATCTGGTCATTGATCTTCTTATCTCAACCAATTCTTAGATCTGCTCAGGCTGATGATAGAGTCATTCCCCACTCTACATTGGCATTTTTTGCCAGGACTGTAGATGACCAAGTTGGATGTCGCCTACACCTATTTAGATATTCCCATAGTAGAGTCATCCCTCCACTATCTATGTTTTGTGCATAAGGTTCAGGTACTGCAGATCAAGACTGCCCTTCGGACTAGCATCGGCACCATATGTGTTCTGCAGAATAGTACAAGTTTTTCTCATCACCTCTGTTCTCTAGGACTGTGCACACACTATTATATGGACATCTATTTACTGGTTACTGCTAGCACCATCTTGCCAGTTGGTGGAACATCACACCCAGATTCTCTTTTCAGAGGCCACCAAGGCAGGCTTTATTATCAGAGCCGAGAAATCTATACTCATTCCAACACAATAAATCGTCCACCTGGGTATCTTTTTCAACACGTATCTCAAGTTAGGCTCAGCCGACTCCCACCCGGCTCCATGCTATGGAACAGGCAGTCAGACTCTTACTCATGTCTCCTTCTTCCACTGCGTGGATGGTTCTTTCTCTTTGGGGATGTGGGCATCATTCAAATCCCTCATTCCTTTGAGACAAGTACACGAGATCCCTTCAGTGGTCACTGTGCATCTAATGGATCATCAACAGCAGTCCATTGGAATACCCAGTCTCCTTATTCAGGATCAACATCTTAGATCTCGATTGGTGGTTAGATCAGAACAATACTATGATGAGTGTGCCTCTGCAGCCACCTTGTCCTGAGATCCATTTTTTCAGATTCCTCACTTAAGGGATGGAGTGCATATATTGATAGTCAGGAATTCCAAGGCCTATTTGACAGACAACAAGACTTCCCTCCTTATCAATATTTTAGAACTTTTTGATGTTCAAAAGGTGATGTTTCAAGGTCTGGAATTATTGAGGGGGAAATATCATCATGCTTTACAATTCCACAGTGGTGTCTTACATTTCTCATCAAGGGGGCACTCGTTTCCAAGCTCTTTGTTTTTGAACATTGGATCTTCTTTATTGGGCTAACTCCCATCATATCAGCCAACTAGCTTTCAATGTTCTGGAGGTGATGAATTTTGTAGTTGATCAGTTGTCTTGACCCAACCAGACTCTCCTGAATGGATGCTATATTTTGAGGTTTTCTGTTGGATTCACTCTTGGTTCAGGACACCAATGATTGATGCATTTGCCACTCAATGGAACACTCAACTACAGCCATTTTGGTCTTGAGTACCTCATCCTTGGGCATTAGAAATAGGAGCTTTCAGTCAGCAGCCCAGTTGAATTGCCTGCTGGAAGACATTGTGCAGGCTGGTATACGGTCTTCTCCCAATACTTTTGTCTCACATTATTTGCATGACCTGGTAGTATCTTCCTCTGAGGGTTTTCAAGTTCCTCCCGTAGCTATCTTGACCACATCAGCTAGATTATAAGGAAAAATGAATATTCTTATTGCTACTCGTGTTACTTCTTTACTTTCCAGGGTCCCTTACTTCTTTTTCACAGAATCCCACTCTGCAGTGAGTGTTACTCAAGGAGGTGTGCTCTATCAAACCAGTTCTGCACTAGCAACCACTAACTCAGTTTCCTTTATTTAGGTTGCAACAGGATCTGTAGAAATGAGGTGTTCCATTAGACCACCTAGAGTCTGTCTTGATGTTATTTCTGTACTATGCTGGACTGCCACTCATGGACTATCATGAGTAGAGCATAAGGGGATCCTGCCCATCCTTTCCAATCATTGTATTGAATAAATCGGAGTCAGTTTGCTTTTTAAAATTTAGGGAACTTGGTTCACCTACTGCAATGTTTCCAGAGCACTGTTCCTCAGGGCTCCGTAATGCACTTTACTACTGCTAGTGGAACTAGGGAGTCTTACCACGCCTGGTTTCCAGTCACTGGGGTGGTGGACAGAGTTTTTTCCTCCAGAGTGTTAGAGTGAATTTCCTCCACTCTTGGAGAAGAGGACAAAGTTGGGGCTCTTCTACATGGGTCCCTAGATGCTTTTTCCCTGATGTTGGTGGGAGGGGCACCAACTTATGCAAGAGCCTACTTGCAATACCATTTCAGATTTGATGCTCAGCTATCAGGTTGGGTTGATCGTGGCCCTTCTTTTTCATCAATATTGGTTCAGTACATTGTTCATGGAAGTGGGTGTATTGGAAGATTTACCTTTCCCACTCAGTTGGAGAGTAAAGATGGGTGTTCATAATTTTAGACTGGATGAATTCTGTTTTCTCAGGTTGAGTATGGCATACAGAATTCTGTCATTCCGAATTTGTGGTATTGCCTTTCAGACTTTTTCAGGTTGAAGAGCAGGTTTGTCCACTTCAGTGTTATTTACTTTCTCTTCGTGATTCCGGTGGCTCAGAATGCATCACTCTATGGCTACAGGTTGGGGATCCACTCATATATATATATATAGTGGTCCAATTGCCCTAGCCACCAATGTGGAATATAGGGACCATGGCCCTATAATTCCAGTCCTGAGCAGTGGAACCTTGGCTATCTTGTTGGGGCCTTGCCAGTAGTAATGATAGATTATGTAAAATTCCACCAACATGAATTATATTCCAGGTGAAGAGCGTATCTGTTACGGATGTAGTGTGGTTCCTCCAATAGGGCACCAATCTTCTATTGACAAGCCCATGATCTGTGTAGACACTTTCTGTATTGATAATGCCATCACTGGCCCCTCCACCTTATCAATGTGGGATTCTAGCTGTAGTGTGAGTGGAAGTAAGTATGTTTTGGAAGTTAACATTTTCTTAAATTGAAGATGTATTTCCAGTAATACTTACCTTCATTCACACTCTCCCACCCTTCCTCCCCACTAAGAACCAGTGTTAGTAACTGCAGATGGAGTCAGTATTGAAAAAGGGATAACATTATCTGAATGAGGTGCTTATATACAGTACCAGGATAGAGGGCATATTGATGTAGGTAGAGAGTGTCACTAGACAGATATTGCCAAGGGCAATTAAATGGGGTATAAAGGACTGGAGCAAGCAAGAAAATATCAGACTAGTGCTTAGATGGGCAAAGGAAAGAAACTCTAATAGCTGAGTAATAGCTGTAGTGTGATAGGAGGTAAGTATTATTGGAAATATATTTTTGATTTAAGAAAATGTTAACATTTTTCTAATTTATGGTAAATGTAAGCATTTTCAGTTGAATCTACTTATTAAAAATAGCTACTCAGAAAATCATCAAAGTTAAACAACATAATTTGTGTTGTCCTAGCATTTTATAATCATAATATCAAAGTATGTTCATTATGGTTGCTACAAATCTAGTAAATTATCCTAACATTAAATATCTTGATTGTTTTTATGACTGGGGAAACAAATTACCTTAAGATTGAAGCACGTTGATTGTGGTTATATTCAAGACTTCAGTGAAATTTTCCTCCTTTTTAGAATTACAACCAAGAACTCGTGACTGGGTTTTAGCTACTGTTGACCATAAGAGTGCTGGACTAGTACCAGCCAATTATGTCAAAATACTGGGAAAGAGGGCAGGATTGAAGTGTCACCAATCTTTGAATGCCAGATCTTTTGCTGAACCAGGACAGGGTAGCCAAATAGAAACAGATGTGGCAGTGACATCCACAGATGCTAATATTTCTCAGCCTAATATATCAGCATTGGCTAATGATTCCAAACTTGCATCAAAATCAGTATCCAGCACAGTAATAAGCAGCTCCTTACCTAAACAGTCCACAGTTGCTAGTAGTTTACCATCTGTACCTGAAGCTTCTGGCTTTTCTCAGGTTAATCCAATGATAACTACTAACACAGGGGACTCTGTCCATTAAAGTTAGTTTCAACATTTTTAAGTATGGTTGTCCTACTTCCAATAAATCTTGTTTGAAATATTCCTTGTACATTTTCTTGTAGTTAAACATGCACTTATGGTGTGAAAATAAAGACAATATATGCAAGTAAGTTACAATTCTATGCCTTTAGAATTTAAAATATTCCATCTCCAATGAGTACTTTTGTAATAGTTTTTTACTTTCTGTAATAATAGTGTTAAGTTAATTATTCTTAACACAAACTTTATATTTTGGTAATATCTAACTGATGGTTTCAGGTATGTAGATCGAAGAGTGGGTTTATAATACTTGAATTACAAACATTCATAAATGCCCTGAGCAAAATTCACTAAAATAAATTATCACTTTAATTAAAAACTGTTAACTGTGACTCCTTCATCTGTCCTTGGACTGATATGATACAAACAACTCTCCTTTTTCATCAAAACTCACAGTAAAAGTATTTTGTTCAGAAAAATCAAACTCAACCCTTTTATTAAACTAATATAAAAAAACACGTAAAATTACAGAGAGAATTAATAACATACTTATTAGTAATTTTTAGTTACCACTGCTTGTTTGTGTATATCTTTTAAGTAATGTTAACAAAGCTGTAAAGTTAATGGGAGATAGTTATGGCATCTTCATGTTAATCTCTTAATTCTACAATAATATATTACACTCTTGCATCATTATTTTACAAATGATAAAATTAATAATGGCTGGAGACGGCTTGAATGGGTAATGAAGTAAGTTTTTCTTCATTACCCATTCAAGCCGTCTCCAGCCATTATTAGTCTCAAAGTGGGTTCCTCGTCATCGAAAATGATAAAATTATTGGGATGCCAGAACAAATTTGTGTAATTTTTTTTTTGTACATATAGACTGTTGTCTTAAATCTTGCATCATGAAAAATTACTGCCTATATGTAACTGCAGTATTAAGCCTTCTGATATCATGGAGCCCTCATTGTGTTATAGCTGCTGTTATTATGGATATGGTTTGTGAAGCTTCACTAATTTTTTATTAATAACATGTGTTATATAACCCTCATCCTATATATTTGAAGTAATATATTTTGTTTTTGAACATTTTAACATGCTTAAAATTGGGTTTGAAATCAAAGTAAGGGGATAGTTATAGATACATAAAAATAATAATTACTGCAAAGCTATTGTCTGACTATACATATGCATCTGTTAAAGAGTTGAGTGTTATGAAATAAAAGGAGACGTGTATGTAAACTGATGTATCCTTTGTAATTACTGCAAAGCTATTGTCTGACTATACATATGCATCTGTTAAAGAGTTGAGTGTTATGAAATAAAAGGAGACGTGTATGTAAACTGATGTATCCTTTGTGACTGCTATTGTAAAATTACTAAGTATTTGTATATATATGGGTTAAAGTAATATTTTGATGTAAGTTCTTATGATGTATGCTAGAATGAGAAAGTAATGTTTTAACATATTTCATAAAAGCTTTATACATGCCACTGTGTCTAGAAATTTATTATCAATCAGCAAAAGTGTGTATATAATTGCATATGTTGAATAAAAATGTCAAATTATAAAATTAATGTATAATAGTAAGTTACTTATCATTAAAACATTGAATATAATTAACCAAAAGCTTCATGTAACAACGGTTTGTAAACTGAATCTTTCTAACTGAAATGTGCTGATACAGAATATCTTTTCTGTAGAAAAAGTATAAATCAAAACTTCACAATTTTAAAGATGGATAATTTGATTAATATAAATCATTACCTTTGAGCATGGATTACATTAATTAGTGTCAAGTAAACTAATCGGTTAATTGTGATTACAATCATATCAATTAATGTCACAAAAATATTCAACTAATCTAAATTATTTTTTCTGATTATTACTTCTTTTGATTATTCCAATAATCAAGTAATTGAAATTATAATAAAATTGATTGTCATGAAAATATTCAAAATTATGGTTACTGATTATTAATATCATTGATTATTCCAGCTATTATAGTAATATATTGTTATTATATTTGTTTGTTGTTAAACACAAATCTATATAATGAGCTATGTGTGTTCTGCCCACTGCTGGTATTAAAACCAAATTTTATTGCTTTAAGTATTTTCTTTTAAATCTACATCAAGTTTATTCAGCTTCGGGCCAGCATGTTTTGGTGATTGAGGGGGGGAGGGTCAAGTGTTTAAGGTATGATTCCTTTTGCCATCAAACTTACTCTTTCTTTGTTAGGGCAGTTTTCACTGTCACTAACTTTGAACTGCTGACAAGAGGGAAGGCAACTGGCTGGCAGCTTCCAACACCAACTCTTTGGCTACTTCAATTTTACATAAAATGTAAATTTTCTTTTTTTTATCTTGTGTTATGTTTTTAATTTATAATTGCATAAATATATTCTTTAAAGCATAAGCAGGTGTGGATTTAGGGGAAGAGTCCTTACCCCCCTACATATTCTCTGAAATCAATACAAAAACAGCCAGATATCCTGATGCTACCATATAATATCATAAAGAAATGTTAGATGCCAGTGTTCTTACATGAATTTAATTACCATAAAAGCTTTTTTCAGGTTTTATGAAATCAATAATGAAGTTTTCAGCCATCCATTTAAGGCTTCAGACAGTAATTTATTGTTTCTGAGCAAATACAATAATATGAACTTCAATTGAATGTTGCCTCTTGGTTTTTTCCAGACACAAACAATGTGTCAAGTCTTTAGGAATTTGATTTCATCATAGTATTGCTTAAGACACCTGCAGCTCTTATAGCCTAATTACATAATTGATTTTTCATTGTTCAGAACTAAGAATTCTCATGAGAAAGATTCATTTCATATTGTTTATGCCCAAAATAAGCAAAAATGCATGGATGACTAAATAACTTCATAAAATTCCTTTGAAAACAGGCATCTTGTTTATAGATTTAGGTGTGGACTTGTAATAATACAGGCATTTTGTTTATAGATTTAGGTGTGGACTTGTAATAATACAGGCACCTTGTTTATAGATTTAGGTGTGGACTTGTAATAATACAGGCATCTTGTTTATAAATTTAGGTGTGGACATGTAATAATACAGGCATCTTGTTTATAAATTTAGGTGTTATACCTGTAGTCAAAAATATTTAAATGTTTGTTTTTAACTTTTTTATTTTAATATCAATCACTACTAGAAATAAAGATTTAAGCTTTGAAATTACTGGACTTAACTAATCATTTATAGCATATATTGATGTTATTTTAATTATGTTTGCTTTATTTAGGTTAGGATGATGTGGTATATATTGATTAATCCAAAATACTATATTATTTTAGTGGAATCTCTCTTCCTTCATGTAAAAAATACTGTAATTTGGTTACAGAGTTACACAGCTAATGTTTAAAAATCTAACTGCTATAATATCATTGTAAAAATGAAAAATTACAACAGCTAGTGTGGAGAAGTTAAATGTTCTTACATTTTAATGCATTAATACTGTATTCTATAAAAATAAGTTGACACCAATATTTTAACATGCAGAGTAATTTATTTATATAAAATCAAAAGAAAAAAAATTATGTGCCAAAAACTACATGTTTTGGAGGAACGTGCTCCACCATGTTCAGGAGACAAAAAGACATATAAAGTTCCTTTATACATCAAAGTTACATGTGTAATGTACATCTTGTACAGTGGTGCCACTTGCAAAATTCTAGAAATTTACTTCTGTGGCACATGGACTTAAATGTTTATTCAAAATCATTTTGTTTTTACAATTTCTAATGATTCTCTTATATTTAATTTAACTTTGTCTGTTTAAATATTTTTACATTGTCCCAGTCAATGAGATGTGAAGAGTTCACCACATTTTGCCAAGGCCGAATCACTTGTTTTTAATATACCAACAGCATTTTTCTGTTCTTTAATTCTAAATTTCTACTTGACTGCCCGATATTACTTATATAAAACTTTGTGTAGTTGTAGTTTGTTCCCCATTTACCCCTTAGTTCAATTTTATTGATCACATCATTGATAAAAGTAATGAATTTTAGTTGAAGTAAAGGTTATTTGACAATCTGTATTTTTCATAAACATTATTTATTGTAGTTTATTGGATTTTTAACCATAGTAGGTCTATTAAAATTTATATTTCTTAAAAATTTAAAAATGTATTAAACTAATGCATAGATGATATATCTATCATCTAACAAATTTGATAAATTATTGGGGAAAATATTTTCTAATGCAATTTCGTGCTTGCCAATTATTAGCATAACATTTCAATTTTCATAGCTGTATAAGGTATATTAATTATATAGATCTAGGCAGTGGTGGGATTCAAATATTTTAACAACAGGTTCTCTCACTAGCAACATGTAAAAATATCAGATAT